AGGAGTAATTCATGAGTGCAGAGATAGGTCTAACCTCTGAGCATTGTTGGGTGTGAGCGAAAATGCAGAAACAAAACAACATTGATTGATTGATTTTTTTGTGAATCTGAACAAATTTTAGGATTGTTTGGTTTATTTTTTTCTTTTGTTTTTATCCTTGGCCACAAAAAGTCCAAACAGAAAAAGAGAAAATGCTATAATTTGATCCCTTAATAAAGAGTGACCACTGGCACTGGAGAGATAGTATAGCAGGTAGGGTACTTGCCTTGCACACATCCGACTCAGTTTCAATCCCTGGCACCCCATATAGTCCCCTGAGCATCGCCGGGTATGACCCCAAAACAAAAAAAGTGACCCCCAAACAGCTTCTGGATACTGGATCGCATGGACACTTCAGCAGTCTTCATTTTTCAAATCATGTATGACCATTTCTTTATTTTACCTATTTCAACAAGGTACCAAGTCTTCATTTCCCAGTCCTCCACCTCGCTGGGATTTACTTCTCAGCATCGCTGGGCTGTCTCCAGGCAATTCTCAGAGGACCACTTGGTTACAGGGTCAAATCCACACCTTCCGACCTCACTCCAGTTGCTGCACTACCTTCCTGGCCTGGGATGGGGAGTGGGTGCCCTCTGACGCTGTTCAGATCCATTCCCAGAGAATGTTGGCCTAGTGTGTGGAAGAGCTGAAGTGTCAGCCTGAAGCTGGTGCTTCTTGGACCCTGTGGTGCTGGGGTGTTGGCTCAAAGGCTGGAGCACCTACTGCATGCAGACACCGAGTTCAGTCCCAGTACCACAGGCCCCTGAGTGCCCCTGGCGTGGCCCAGATGCCTCTGAGCAGTGACAAATCTGACAGTAGCAGTGTCGACTGGTCCTTGTCCTGCACTATTGTATAGCACTCTGAAACAACTGCAGCAACAAAGAAAATCTTTACTAATTCTCATCCCAGTGCCCCCACCCCCAGCTATACTGCTTCCACTGGTCTTTTGGGGAAAATTACAAAACCTAGAAGGCTCTCTCTCCTCTATAGTGTGTTTCCGTTCATTCTCTGGAAGCGGGATCAGATCTTGGACAGAAGACTGTTCCCCAAAGTGGTGCACCCTTGTTGAGCCTCAGTTCCCTCTGCATGTACAGGCCTGCCTGTTCCTGGACTTTTGTTTTTGTTTTTATTCTAGGGCCACACCTAGTGGTTTTGGGGCTACTCTCTGAGTTGTGGCAGGAGATGAAGTTCTGGGGATCAAACCTGGGGCTCCAGCCTGCAAAACAGTTGCTTCAGGCCTTTATGCCATCTAAGACCCCCGTTCCCCGACTTTTTATTCTGCTTGTTCGTCTAATGCCTAAAACACACAAGTAGGATTATTATAGTTTTACATTCACTGCTGGAGCGATAGCACAGCAGGTAGGGCGTTTGCTTCACAGGCAGCCAACATGGCCGACCCGAGTTCGATTCCTCCGTCCCTCTTGGAGAGCCTGGCAAGCTACCCGTGACGTATTCGATATGCCAAACACAGTAACAACAAGTCTCGTGATGGAGACGTTACTGGGCCCTCTCGAGCAAATCGATGAACAACGGGAGGACCGTGACCGTGACATTTACTGCATTCCTTTAACTTTATTTGTTATAGCATAGGTTCTTGTAGCTGACTCCTTTTTTATGGCAGGGGGGATATATCCATTGGTACTCAAGGCATACTCTGCACTCAGGGATGACTCCTGGTGGGCTCAAGGGACCATATGGGGTTTCGGATATCAAATCCTGGTCAGTTGCATGCAAGACAAATACTCTACCTGCTATGCTATTAAGTGACTTAAGAGCATCACTTAGTGTGACTCAAAAGCTAAAAAAAAATTAAAATATGGTCCTGTTGTGGCTAGAGGGATAGTACAGTTGGTAAGGCATTTGCCTTGCACTTAGCCAACCTCAGTTCCATTCCCAGCACTGCACATAGTCCTTTAAGCACCTTCAGGACTGACCCTTAAGCACAGAATCAGAGTAGCTCCCAAAAACTGCTGGGTGTGACCAAAATACTAACAAGAAATGTTAAAGATGGGGCGGGAGAAATGATACAGTGGGTCAGGTGCTCGTCTTGCAGGTATATGACCCGAGTTTGGTCCCTGGCACCCCATGTTGTCCCCCCAGGCTCTGCTAGTGGAGGTTCCTGAGTACTGAGCTAGGAGTAAGCCTTAAACACTGCTGAACAAAAAATTAAAACAGTGATATTTTAAGAAACAAAGTTTAAGCTGGTAAGCACTTGCTCTGCACGCAACCCACTCTTTCAATCCCTAGTATCTCATATGGTCCCCCAAGCATTGCCAGTAATGATCACTGAGCACAAAGCCAGGACTAACCCCCAAGCATTTCTGGGTGTGATCCAAAAATTGAAAAAAAAAAGGTTTTAATAAGCTGAATCGATTTGCTTGAGCCCGGCAAGCTACCAAGAGTATCTTTTTTTTTTTTTGAGATGGAAATTTTGTCCTTTATTTATTTATTTAAATTTTTATTAGTGAAACACCATGAAATACAGCTGTAGACTTACAAATTTTTGTGCTTGGGTTTCAGTTATACAATGACCAAGTACCCATCCCTCCACCAGTGCACATTCTCTACCACCACTAATCCCAGTATCTCTCCCACCCCCCATCCCCCCATCCCACCCTGCCTCTGTGGCAGGGCACTCCCTTTTGTTCTCTCTCTCCTTTTGAGTGCTGTGGTTTGCAAAAGAGGAATTGAGTGGCAATCATGTTCGGTCTATAGTCTACTTTCAGCATGCATCTCCCATCCTGGGTGGATCTTCCCAGCGCCCTTTATTTGGTGCTCCCTTCTTTGTCTGAGCTGCCTAGCATGTGCGGCTGGCCTCCAAGCCATGGAGTAAACCTCCTGGTATTTATCTACCGAGAGTATCTTGCCCACACGGCAAAGCGTGGCAAGCTACCTGTGACGTATTCGATATGCCAAACAGTAACAAGTTTCACAATGTTACTGGGCCCACTTGAGCAAATCTTTGAATGATGAACAACGGGAGGACAGTGACAGTGACAGTGAATAAGCTGAAAAATGGGGCAGTGTCATTTTTTAACCAAAAGAGGTTCAGGGCTTCTAAACAAAAGAAATTATCCAAAATGAATATTCTAATTCAGGCATGATTTCCAAAAAAGTGCTCTAAGAAAAATAACCCACAAAATCAGTGTTCTCAAAATTACCATCTGATTTTGAGGATCCTGTTGTTTATGTGAAAAATATAAAAATTTATGGTTGTTTTTAATTTTTTGTTTGTTTTCTTGGCCACACTTGGAGGTTCTCAGGGCTCTGCACTCAGGAATTAATCCTGGCAGGGCTCAGGGACCATACCGGATACTGCAGATCCAACCCAGGTCAGGTGCGTGCAATGCAAGCACCTTAATCTTATACTATCCTTCCAGTCCCAAGGACCATATTTAAAGCCTATACTTTGACTTAGTCAAAATAAGAATCACTGCATCCTCTCTGCGGAATGTTTCTTCCCTGGAGTCCCATCCCTCTAGTGGGCCAAGGGCGATCATCACTGACGGGACTGAAGGCTGCTGAGTGAAGTAAACGAGCTTCCATGGGTGCTGTCATAGTTCTGAGAGACAGGCAAGATGTCTGGAGCAAAGGGTTTCGAGTGGAACAGGTGGAGAGAGGAGGCCCCAGCGTGAAAAGTCGGAGCAGAAAGTGAGTCAGGGTGAGGAAGGTTCTAAAGCCCCCAGTCAGTTCCTCCCTGCTGAGCAGCCGGCAGACCCATGTCCAGTCCAGTGGCCTGGAGAGACCCTACGTACCTCTCTGACAGGAAGGTACCGGACAGGGCCTGGGAGGACCCAGTGAGGTGTAGGGCCGAGACAGGGAGGCTGCCTGGTGGGTCATTCAACCTCGAGGGCGGTTTCTGCACAAGGCAGGGTGAGGATGTGCACAATGGGGAGGCTTGCATCCCGTGAGGGCGCTTCTGAGGGGTCTCTAGTGGGAAAGCCATGTAACACAGCATAAGGTCACAGACCTCAGCCACAAACCCTATTTTGCTAAGCAGGTGTTGGCAAGAGGAGCGTTTCGGAGAATCACATCTAGCCCGGCTCTGGGCCCGGACTCCTCCAGAGTGAGGGGAGCAGGTGCGGGGCTGCCAGAGAACCAGGAGCACCTGCTCCGCCCCAACCGGGGGCACCAGCTCTGCCCGGAGAACCAGGAGCACCCTCTGCCCGAGCTGGGAGCAACCCCACTGCCCGAGCCGGGGGCACCAGCTCTGCCCGATCCCCGGGGAGCAAGTGGCGACGAACAGCAGTGCGGTCTGCCGAGGTCCAGGGCGCTCCGCTGGACGACAAACGTTTCCGGTCACCAGCAGCGGCCAGGAACGCCCCGGCACACGGGAGACGGTGTCCCTGACTCCCCAGCCGTGGTGGCCGTTGATGCTATTCCGTTTGCTCGTTTTTGGGGCCACATCCAGGCGTGCTCGGGGGTCGCTACTGGCGGGCCGGGGGCCACACGCGGGTCCCAGTCCGGGCCGGGGCAAAACTGGCCCAGGTCGCCCTCGCGGCGCCCAGGGGTCAGCCGGCGCGTGGACGCCCGGCGAAGTGGGGCGGGGGAGGGGCGCCCGCCCGGGACGGCGCGTACACGCGGCCCGCGGGGTCACGTGGGCGGCCCGCGCCCGCGCCTGCCGCACGCCCGAGCACGTGCCCGCGGCGCCGGCCCCGCCCCGCCGCCCCGCCCCCGCCGTGGCCGGCTCGCGCGCTCGCTCCGCCGCCTCCGAGCCTCCCGGGTTTTCTCGGCCGCCCGGACCCGGCCGCGTCGGGCGTCGCGGCCGACGTGCGTGCGCCCGGCCGGCGCGCCTCGCCATTGGCCGGCGGCGGTAGCCCCACTGCCGTGCGCTGCACCCATTGGCGGCCGCGGCCGTCCGTCGCGCGCCGCGCGTGCGCCCGCCCCTCGCCGCCGCTCGTCGCTCGCCGGCCGGCGGCCTCGCGCGGCCCTCAGCTCCGTGGCGGCGGCGGCGCCCGGGCCCCTCCAGGCCCATGGCGGCGGCCGCGGCGCTCCCGGGCGCGGGCGGCCCTCCCGCAGGCGGTGGGGCGGGCAGCGGCGGGTCCCCGCCCGGCGGCTGGGCCGTGGCGCGCCTCGAGGGCCGCGAGTTCGAGTACCTGATGAAGAAGCGCTCGGTGACCATCGGGCGCAACTCGTCGCAGGGCTCGGTGGACGTGAGCATGGGCCACTCGAGCTTCATCTCCCGCCGCCACTTGGAGATCTTCACGCCCCCGGGCGGCGGCGGCCATGGCGGGGCCGCCCCCGAGCCGCCCGCGCAGCCGGGCCCCGACGCCGGCGGCGACTTCTACCTGCGCTGCCTCGGCAAGAACGGGGTGTTCGTGGACGGCGTGTTCCAGAGGCGCGGGGCGCCGCCGCTGCAGCTGCCGCGCGTGTGAGTGCGGGCGCCTAGGCGCGGCGCGGCCCAGACCCCGGGCCGGCCCGACCCCAGCCCCTGACCCGGCCCGACCCCGACCGCGACCCCGATCCCGACCCCGACCCGGCCCGGCCCGACCCAGACCCTGGCCCAGCCCAGCCTTGCCCTACCCAGACCCTGACCTGGCCTGACCCAGACCTGGACCCAGCCCGACCCGACCCAGACCCAGACCGAGACCCCGGCCCGGCCCCACCCCGACCCAGACCCTGACCCAGTCCCTGACCCAGCCTGGCTCGGCCTGCGACCCCAACCCCAGCCCGACTCAGACCCTGACCTAGCTCAACCCAGACCCCGCCCGGCCTGACCCAGACCCCGACCCTGACCCGATCCTGACCCATCCCTGACCCAGCCTGGCCCGGCCCGACCCCAACCCAGACCCTGTTCAGGCCTGACCCAGCCCAGACCCTGACCCACCCGGCCTGGCCCCACCCCACCCCACCCTGACCCTACCCAACCCATCCCTACCCTGTCCTGACCCTGACCCAACCCAGACCCCGCCCCCCACCCCCACCCCACCAGATCCAGACCCAAACCCTGGCCCTCCCAACCCAGACCCATACCCCCACCCCGACCCCAGCCCATCCTCGGCCCGACCCGACCCGGCCCAACCCAACCCAGGCCGTGGACCAGACCTGACCCGGTCACCAACCCAACCCAGCTGATCAAACCCTGCCCCCCCCCCAACCCATCCCAAACGACCCCAGCTGGACTCTGGACCCGACCGGGACCCCTGGCCCAGATCCTGGTCCTGACCCCAGATCCCAGTACCCACCCCACTGGGCCCCCAATCCCTGCCCAACCCAGACCTGACTCCTGGCCCCCATCCCGCCTGATCTGACTCTGGGATGGTTGGTCCTCAGCCCCCACCCCACTCTGTCAAATCCTAGTCTGGACCTGAGTCCTGGGTCCCCAGACCCAGATCCCGATGATCCATACCCAAACGTGACACCCTGTCCCTACCTGGACCCTATCCTGGCCCCCTATCCTGGATGCAAGTCTGATCCGGCTGGGAACCCTACTTGAATCCCAACCCGGAGTCCAGTGCAGTCTAGACCCTAATCTGGACCCAGCCCCTAACCTGGTCCTTCACCTGGACCCCAGGTCAGTTTGGGCCCTCATCTGGATGTCCTGCTGGGACCCCAGTTTTAATGCAGACCCCAACCTGGACGCTCACTGGGTCTCTTCCCCATCTCGAATCCCAGTCCTAAGACCCTGTGTGGACCCAAGCAGACCCCTACCCAGCGGGCAGAGCTGTGCCGGGAGCAGAGGGCAGTGCTTTCTCAGCCTGCGGCTGGTGTGTTGGATGTTTTGGTCACTTCCAGGACCCACTGTCCAACCGGTGTGGAGAGCTGGGCCTGCATGAGGACCCGAGTATGTCCGAGCTGGTGCCGGCTGATAGCTGCTGCTTTGAGAGGGAAATGCTCCAAGAGTACATTTTAAGGTTGCAAGAACCCCTTTTTCTTGGCAGCAGTTCTGGTAGCCTAAAAATGGAAAAATCTGTGAAGAACATTTGTGGGCTCTTGAAGTTGTCGGGAAACCGTGTGGTATTGGGGGGTCAGACCTTGGGCTCCGGCATGTAAGCATGTGCTCTAGTCTTTGCAGCCAGCTCCCCTAACCCTGGATCATAAACATTTTTATATTTTCTCAAAACCGTAAAATCTTGGGAAATAGGGGCCAGTATGGCAGGTAGGGCGTTTGCCTTGCCTTGGTGTGGCCAGCCTGAGTTCAATCCCCAGCATCTCATGTGGTCCTCTGTGGGCCCCCCACCCGCCCCCAAGCAGTGATCCCTGAGCACCAGGATGGCCCAAAAAATAAAAACTGGGGAAAAAATTGGTTTAAAGTTCTCTTTAGGGGGCTGGTGAGAGTATAGGGGTCCAGGTGCTTGCCTTGCTTTTGGTCAGCTTTGGTCTGGACCCTGCGCACTGCTGGCAGTTAATGTCTGCACACCACTGGGTGTGGCCCCCAAACAAAACTAGAAGTTGGTTATTGGTTGACTGCTTAGAAATCACAGTGAGGAGCTGGAGTGATAGCACGGCAGGTAGGGCATTTGCCTTGCATGCAGCCATCTTGGGTTCGATTCCCAGCATCCCAGATGGTTCCCTGAGCACCAGGAGTCATTCCTGAGTGCAAAGCCAGGAGTAACCCCTGGACATCGCCGGGTGTGACCCAAAAAGCTAAAAAAAAAAAAATCACAGTGACTGGACTGGAATAAAGTGATAAAGGGATCTGTCAGGCCTACTACCAAAGCCCAGCTCGGTCTAGAGTTTTTATGAAGTTGTCAATTACTCGGGTTGGAAACAGACTTGCTCTCTAGGAAATGCTAATGACTCCTCAGGGGCTCTTTTCTGGATCCTTGCAAATAAGGCTTTTGTGCATGCATTGGAATTGCTCACTGTTCAGTCGTTGAGATGCCCATATCCCTGCTTCCTCTGACTCCTTCATCTCTGTGCTGCGCTGTTCCTTGAACAGCTTGGAGAGCTGCAGGAGTGAGTTTTTTTTTTTCATTGGTTTTGGTTTTGGGGCCACACCCGCCAGTGTTCAGGGTACCATATGGAGTGCTGGGGGTTGAAGTTGGGTTGGCTGTGTGCAAGGCAAGCATGGTCCACATACTATTGCTCGGCCTCAAGAGTGGATTCTTTCAAGCTAGCAAAGAACATGACTTTCCACCCAAACTTGTGTATTGATATTGTAGACTGCACGACATCGGTAGGAGCCTGATGAATCCCCCTACTTGATGTCACAATAAAAGATGGTATATTTTTCCTGAGGATCTTATGTTTTCTTTTTATTTTTTTAGTTACCATTTAGCCAAAACCATTTGTATTGATATGCCAAACAAACATGGAAATAAGTTGACCTTTTTGGAGATGAGCAGAGTTCACTTTTAGTTTTGTTTTCGGGCCACACCCACTAATGCTCTGATCTTAGGGGAGCTCCAGAGCCCTCCAGTCTGCGAGAACATGAGCCCAAGCGTCTTGAGTCTCTCCCTGGCCCTAGGATTCAGACTGTTTGATAGGTGGGCTGAGCCTTACAGAAGCTGAGAGAGGAGGGTGGTGGGTGGAGGTGGTACCGCCTGCCTGCTGGAGCTCGTAGATGGGGGAATGAGTTTTTTCACAGAAAGAACTCTGGCATTTCAACATTCTGTTTTGTTTTTTAGGCCATATCGGATGGTGCTCAGGGCGTATTCCTGCCTCTTTGCTCAGGGATCACTCCTGGTGGGGCTCGGGGGACCATATGGGGTGCCACAGAACAAATCTGGGGCAGTTGCAGGCAAGGCAAATGCCCCACCTGCTGTAGTATCCTTCTGGTCCCAGGACCCTACTGTTTTTGACCCTGGGGAGTAAGAGGAGAAAGGGTGTTACAGTACCTCCCTCTTGTAAAGTGTCATTTTCAAGTTTGGGATGTAAGGTGATAGCATGCAAGTTAATGGGATAAACTCTACAGATAGTTGGTATTCAGTATGTAGATAAATCGAAAAATATTTTCCTTAAAATCAGTTTTATGGGGCTGGAGCAATATAGCACAGCTGATAGGGCATTTGCCTTGCACACGGCCAACTCAGGTTCGACTCCCAGCATCCCATATGGTCTCCTGAGCACCGCCAGGAGTAATTACTGAGTGTGGAGCCAGGAGTAACCCCTGTGCATCACTGGGTGTGACCCAAAAAGCAAAAATAAAATAAAATCGTCTTTATGGCACAAGTTTGGTTTTGGATCACAGACGGTGATGTTCAGGCCTTTCTCCTGGCTCTGTTCTCAGGGATCACATCTGATGGTGCTCTGGGGGGTTCATATGTGGTGCTGGGGTTGGCCAACTCGGGTAGGCTTTGTGCAAGACAAGTGCCTAAACCCCTGTGCTTTTTTTTCTACCCTGTTAGAAAATTTTTAGTTAAATTTTCTAATAGGGTGATAGCTCAACAGGTTGGGACACATACTTTGCATGCTGAGCGCTGAGTTCAGTCCCCAGCTCCATATTATACCCCAAACAGGGAGCAGGGTGTAGTCGCTGAGCAGAGCTACACTAAGCACTGGCTTGAGTGTTACTTGAGTGGCCGCTGGGCTCCTTAGCAATACTTGGGAGGAACCCCCCCCCCCCCCCCCGCATTGTATCATCTTAACTTGAGGGGGCTGCAGAAGATAGTACAGTGGAGAGGGCACTTGCCTTGCTTGTGGAGGACCTGGTTCTGTCCCTGGCACCCCATATTGGTTCCCTGAGACCTACCAGGAGTGATTCGTGAGCAGGGGTGACCCTGTACACTGCTGGGTGTGGCCCCCTCCTCCGCCCCCCAAAAAACAAACTTTCCCCGAGAGATTTTGGAAGAGTATTTAAGTTTAAAGTATGGTTTATTTTATTCAAGTGAAGAAAATGTGTAAATATGTAAATTTGTGGGTTTTTTTCTTTTGGAGTCACCCAGCAATGCACAGGGGTTACTCCTGTCTTATGCACTCAGGAATCACTCTTGGCAGTGCTCGGGGGGACCATATGGGATGCTGGGAACTGAACCTGGGTTGGCCTCATGCAAGCAAATGCCCTACCCGCTGTGGTATCACTCCAGCCCCTTGTTTTTTTTTTTTTTTAATGGAAGTGTTAGCAGCTTTATTTGTTCATCTTCTTAAGCCAAAGCACCTTTGATTTTTGTTTGTTGTTGTTGGGCCACACCCAGCCTTTCTCAGGAAGGTTTCTCCTGCACTGAGGAATTACTCCTGGCTGTACTTTCCAACCCCCGAATTAGTATCAGTTTTAGTGGAACTAGATTAAGATGAGAACTGGATGTTGCCCGCTGTATTTGTTTTTTATACCAGTTACACTATTCTTTTTTGTGTGTGTGTGTTTACCTTCCTTGTATCCCCTTCCCTTCTCAGGTAACCTATGTTCTGTCATGAGCATCTGCTGGTTTATCTTTGTTCTGTTCATCAGCCTCATATTGTGTGCCCAAGTGAATTCATCTCTTGCTTCTG